TTCCGAAAAATAAAACTATTTACAACTATATAGTCTGCTCAAATTCTGATTAGACGTGAGTCCAAACCACAGTGGAACCTGAAATATAGTAAGTCTAGTAGCGATAAAAAAAATCTGTATTAGAATAGCGAATTCATTCTTGTGGCCAGCATTAGACAATACTACTTACAGGAGCAAACTGGTCAAAGTTCAGTGAACAGCCTTCACACTGGTTAAAGGAGCATAACCTTCAACTGCTATGATAGTCATTAAAATTTTGTTTGCCCTTCCCTCGGCAGACCTTTAAGGAAAACTTCAAACGAGCTGCCACACCTTAAGACTAAATATAACTCAACCATGGAGAAGCGGCATATGGCATGCCTTCATAATAAACTCTACATCATTTTCTGCTTTCAACCTTTCAAATCACAAAGGGGGTAAGGAGAAAATGTAAATGTTGGGGATGAAAGATCCGTAGTCATGTTCATGTTGTGCAGTTTCCTCTTAACTTTTTGTTATCTCTTCAGGGAGAGCAAACTTCTCAAAAGAAACTTGCTTCATGATTACTCAATACGATTTAATCCAAAAACCCAAACTCTTACAATATATTTTGACAGCCAGGCCAGTATCTCAAAAGCAAAAGAGTGAAATCCTGAACAAAATCTTGACGAGCCGTCGAGTTGGGTGTGGAATGAACGCACATAGTCACACATGACGTAATGAGCATACTCCTTTTCTCGGCAAAATATCAGGGGGGAATCATCGGTTCATATTTTATCAAAAATGATACCGTTAAGAACGTAACCGTCAATAGCGACTGTTATTGCGCTACGATAATTGACTATTTGATGCCAAAAATTGAAGCTCATGATCTTGGCGACATTTGGTCTCAACATCGCATCAATCAATGTTTTTATGGAGAGCACGCTGCAGTCAGCAGTTAATTTCATGTTTTATCTACTAGTCGAACTACTCGAATGAGTCACCAAAATTTGGACTCAAGTGATGGATCATCTGAGACGTAGCTGGTGCCAATATTCGAAAGAGATATTCTTCAAAGATTATATGCCAAAGAATGTTCCTTCAAATATTAATAAACATTTCCCAATAACATGGAATTTTTTTGCTTTAAAAAATAGGAAACCTCGAAATTGAGCACCCTTCATATTGAATTCATTCTTTAAAGAGAACATCTATCCTTGTTTAGAGTTTTACACTGCTAATATTTTTTTTTTATTATCTCTATTAATTCAGAAAAAATAACTGTTATTTTGTGAAAATTTGCACGGAAATACATATAAAAGTAGCATATTTGGTAGAAAGTTATGATTTTTAATGTAAAATTTTAAAACTTAAAATATTTCCTGTATACATTTATCCATACGAAATCTTTTGAAAAATTCAGGGTTGAGCTCAACAAACATTTTTTCACTCGCTCAGGGCATCTCTTTTTAAAATGGGGATTCCTCAAAGTTCAAAACCCGCCAGCAATGGATAGAAAATCTATTTTAAAAGCTTAATAAATCACAACAACAACAAATACAAATTAATGAAATGTTTATGCTGTAAATGGTCGTTAATATTTTTTAAAGAAAAAATATATAAATTTTTAATTCTCCAAAAATAAACCTAACAAAAAAGAATTGTGCGCCCGAATTCCAATTTCATGTTCTTGGACCTCTCTTTTATTTCCTTTTGTTGTCCATCTAATCGTGCATATATTTGTAATTAAATTTCGTAGAATTTGTAGACAAAAGTTAATTTTCTTGAATTAGGTAACCGTTATGTTGAAAATTCACAACAAAACAAAAACAAAAACATGTGTTTATAACGATGAACGTAATGCCTTTATACACACTTTTATAGGCATATCTACATAATTATTTACATACATATGTATTTATGTACATGCGAGGACGACATACATAAATTGCTGTTAGAAGCACCCAAAAAAGCAGTGTTTTGGTAAAATGACATGACAACAACAGCAACAGCCACAGAAACTACAACAACATGTAGGGAAATAAAAAATGACGAAAAAGAGTGTTACACACATTTTAATGGCTAATTTGGTTGAAGACGATGAACAGAAAACATTAAATAGATTTCTACATACATGTAATTGCTTTTACACGCATACATACAAATAAGTATTTTCCTTACTTAATTTTTTTGTTTTAGTTTCCTCTTGTTATTTTGTTTTTTTGTTTCCTTCTTTCTTCTATAAAAGCACAATTTTTCTTAATAAACTTTATTACAAATGCGTCTGTGTTGATATGTGTTTTACGTGCGCGCTTTTTTTTATTACATACAATAAAGTTGATTATGTGCAGATAAGTATGATGAGTTGTTTGCACGTTGAAAACAGCGAAATTCACCGGGAAAATTATTACCCGAAGAGAAGCTTTAACAACTATTAGTTCGCTGACGCCGATGACCGATAGCAAGCGGTAATTTTTACGAGCGTGAATGTAGTCAACCGCTACTGTGCCTGACGCTACTGGACGCTTCCTGTCTTGCTTTTAATCCGCATAATTACATAGTTAAAAAAATAAAAAAAATTATGCAATTCTTTATGGTTTCAATTGGTGAGCATCTTTCTATCATATTTGTGCGTATGTTTGTGAAAACTGTTCAATAAATAGTCGCAACTGTCATTAAGTGCTACTAGCAATCAAATGAGTCTCTTTGATGGCAGCCACAACAGTGAGCATATAAAAGTGTGGTGAGATATTTATTGATACATGTATACATACATAGTTGGCTACTTGTTTCTTTATGCATATTTGTTGAATTTTGCTTTTGTTTTATCGTACCTCTAATATTTTTTGTTACTATTGAATTCGACAAATTGTTTTTACAACACTGTTTTGCTCTATGCAGATATGTTTGTGTAAAGCAGCTTATTATGTTCATCTGTAGTGAACATAAATATTTTTGATTAACACGTTCCTTTCCATCATACTAACGCTTTTTAATTTCCTTCAATATTTTATCACCGGCCAAAAAAAAAAATGTTTGGGTCTCTGAAAGTTTTGACTTTTAGTCCATAAAATTTGCTCTTGTCTGATTTACGCCGAAAAGTATACTTTAAGGGGCACACCTAGTGTGAAATTTAAAAAAAAACGATCTTTTTTCATACTTCGGTAGACTTTACCTTTAAAAATAACATATTAAAATTTCAAATCGATATTTCAAATAGTTTTTGAGTTATAGCAATTTAAAGAGCAGCCGCTCGGCAGATAGTGAGTCTCATTAGCTACCAGCGAAAACGATTATTTTATCTTTAAGCGCGTTTTTCTCGAGTTTGCTGCAGTGATTACTCAAAAACAAATGATCCGATCACTATCGATTTTTTCTTACAAGGACCTACCGATTTTTGATCTGATCAAAAAATCGAGTTTTAACAGCCCAAAAATGATCAAAACTTTGGGTAAAATTCGACTATTTTTTTTAAAACGCCGCCATATTGTCATCTTTAATTTTTTTTATCGTACTGACAATATTATCTAGCAGAGATTTATTTTTTTAGATTTCATCTACGGAGAAGGCCGGAATCACTGCAGCAGTGAAGGACCTATTTTCGCGCCTTTGGAGATCGACTATAACTTAATACAAATACCCAAAAATCACCTTTTTTTAAGCTATTACACTAGGTGTGCCCCTTAGCACATTTACTGCCGAAGGCCGTGGCGAGAAGAGGTATGAAAGCACATTTTTATAGGCGTATTCTCACTGTTACCAATAAAGTAAGTTCTGTTACTCTTCTCTAACACCCAAGATTGTCAAATTACATTTGCAAGAAAATAATAACAACAAAAACATACAGCAGATGGTTTGCTACCTCCTATTTCACGGGTAACAAAATTTACAGGGTGACAGTGAACTCAGAATACGATTTAGTAGCAAATATGATTTAGGAATTTTAACACCAAAGAAAATTGTATTACCTTGAGAGATTGGTTAATGTGGCATATAATATTTTCCTCCAGAAGACAATTTTTCATCATCCAAATAATTCGCCATAGGTACGAATAGATGATGTTCGCTTGGCGCGAGGTCCACACTATAGGTGATTATAAAACCTTCCATATTCCTAGTACTTCCGTTTCGAAGATACTTGCAGAGTTTGGTTGGGCAAGATAATGTCAAACCCCTTGAGTGTATTCCTGAAGTAAAATAAAAGGCGCCTCATAAAAATCCATCGGTCATTCGGGGGCGACTTAGTATAAATTGGAAAAACATCCAGATACTCAGATATAAAATTGTTTTGTACACAACAACCCAACTTCATAAATTGAGTAGTGAGTTATATAAGCAATTGATAGAGCTAGTCTGTCCGTCTGTTTGTATGCAAACCACTCCCTCAGTTTTAGACATATATCAACCACTTGGTATTTGTAATATGCTGCCTTAAGCTATTTTCGAAACTGACCAGTTCGGACCACTACAACATATGGCCACCATGCAAACGCTTTGTTCAGATGTGTGACCTTAGGGCAAAAATCAGGCAAAACATGATTAAAGAGCAAGAACTTTAGTATTATATTTTCGCATCTACAAATAAATATGTACATCAAAAATTATCGTAGTCAGAAAACTTCATATTATATCCCTCTTCAAACAAATTTTTGGAATATAAAAATTAATATTTATTACTGAAATGAAAATATATGGTAATGAAAGGTATAAGGACTTCGGGGAAGCTATTTTTCATTTACAGATTGTCAAGGAAATTTTGAAATATATGTAAAAAAAAAATCAGTCTTGGCTATGATACTATAATCTCCATTGACTCCGTTGGCTCTTCAAAGGATGAAATTCGAAATTTGCAGGTTAAAACTAAACTAATTTAGAAAGAAATTTGAAATGGGATTTTTGGCGTTTTTTAATATATATTAATAAATATATTTTTCTTGCCAATAAATTTAGAATAAGTTTATGATATTTCTTGCATAAATGTAAATAAAATGAAAAGAGGATTAAAATATTAATTTTACATTTATTTCTTTTATTTTCAGAATAAATACAACCTGCAACAAGAAAGCTCGCTAAGAGAAAAGGTATTAGAAAATAATTATATTATTGGAATATATACATATATCTTAAACAAAACTTATATAAAATTGGAAGTCTCTTAACCAAATGAACTGAATGTAATTGAATTTCTTAAGTTTTCTAATAATTTTATATATTCATTATAAACTTTAAGCAGTTAAAAGAAACTCAACAACAACAACCACAACTATATTATATTTCCATATATGCAAAAAAATGTAAGCCAGTTTCCGAGTTGTATTGTTATTTAACGGTAAATTTCACCATTTACCAATGGTGATAAACTGGCTTCTATATAATTTGACTGACTCACCTATATGCATAATGACACACAAAGTAGACACAGCATATTGTATTTTACTGAGAGAAATAACAACAAAAATCTGTATCTGACGTGTGACTGTGTTGTTTTACAAGCTGTGACGAAATTAAATTATGCCAATCGATGTATATATACGTATACGTGTATATGCTTGCATATTTAAATGAATATATTTCCTCAAGCACAAAATTGTTAAGTCCATAACATTGAACGCTTGAGTGAGTTCCTTTCGACTAAAGTTGATTAAAATTTCAAATAAGGCAAAACATGATTGAGGCATAAATGTCAAACGGGAATATCAAAAGTGCGTTTCAAGTATGCAAATCAAAAGATTTACTTAATACAAATGAGTCAATAAAAAGAATGGCGTTTGATTTAATTAGCTGTCTTAAGTATAAAAAAAAATTACAACATAAAGTTCTTAGTTTTATGTTGAGTGTTGGATTTTGAGAAAAATAAAACAAAATAAATAAAAATTCATTTAAATAATTTTATATAAAATATAAAAAAACAAAATAAAATAAAAGAAAAGAAAAGAAATGAACTTAATTTAAATTGCATAAAAAACGAATATTAAATTAAATGAATTAAAATAAAATAAATAAAAATAGAATAATAAAATACAATAAAAAATATTAAATCAAATATAGTACAATAAAAAATAAATAAAATAAAGTGAAGCAGAATGCACTAAAATAAAAAAATTTTAATTAAAATAAAATAATATAAAAAAATTGAATAACTGAATTTAAGTAAAATAAAACAAGTTAAAATGAAATAAACTAATATATAAAAAATCACAATAAAAATTAATTAAAATAAAATTAAAGTAACAAATTTTTATAAAATAGAAGAAACTAAAAAATGATAATACATGTATATATAATTAATTACAGTTAAAGGAAATAATACAACACGAAACAAAATCAAATAAAGTGAAATAAAATAAAGTAAAATAAAAGAAAAGACAACTAAAATAAAATAAAATAAATTTTAATTCAACTATATATAATATATAAAGTAATCTGCAATAAAGTTAAATAAAAAAATAAATTAATTGTACATAAAATTAAAAAAAAATAGAAAAAGAAATAATAAACTAAATAAATAATATAAATTAAATTTAAAAGAGATAATATAACAAGAAATAAAATCAACTAAAGTAAAAAATAGAAAACTAAAATAAAATAATTTCCCTGATGTAATAAAAAAAAAAATGAAATAAAATTAAATATATTATATTAAGCCACCGCGGCCGTGGTAGCTGATGGTTAGCACTGGGTACTGATATTCGGAGGGCTGGGTTTCATATCCCGGTGCCACCAACATCCAAAAGTTATGAAAAATTAATTTAAATTTTCTAATTGCGGCCGCACCTTTGCAGGGGATATCCACCCCTCCGAGCGTATTTCGAACATGAAATAAAGGCTTCTCTTAAAAAACCATCACCCGTTAGGAGGTGTCTTAGTATAAACTGTAGCTCGGCCAAACAAATCGCTCCAGCGGTTAGAAATATGAAATATGAAATGAATAAAATAATACATTGAATAAAAAAAACTAAAATCAAAAGATATAAAAATGAAAAATAAATAAAAATAATACACAATAAAACAATACAAAAAAAATATAAAGGATATAAAGCAAAATAAAATAATGTAAAATAGAATAAAACAAAATTAAATAAAAGAGAATAAACTAAAATAAATTAAAATAAAATGAAATAAAAGCTAAAAATAAATTAAAATAATACACAATAAAACAGTTAAAACAAAATGTAATAAATTAAAATAATCTAAATTAAGCAAAATAATATTATTTAGTTTGGCAGTTTAATAATATTATTTAATACTAATACAGAGATTTTAATAATCATTGCGATTCAGTTAGTTCATTATGGCGTACCTATTTGCTAAAGGTACAGTCTAAAGACTTCTGACAGAAACCTGGCGACTTTGTAAATGTCATTTTGTTCTTTGAAGTCTGAAATTTTCGATTGAGCCCAGAAGTTTTTTTTTAGTCTTTGATCTTAGCATTTCAGTTTTTAAAACTTTTCAAATTTTTTTTTAATTTGTTTAAATTTAAGTTAAGAGAATAAATTCACTTTTATGCCAATATTCACATTCATTTCACATTTCATATTTGAAGGCATAACGTGTTACCGCTACTGCTGACATTTCGGTAATGAGAACAGCGTAACAAGTTAACCAGAAAAAATTACAAAAACAAATAAGTTACAAAACTAAAATATTGTAGAAAGATGTAAATAAATTCAAAGTAAACGCCTGCCGGCAACGAAAGCCAGGTAGAGTTTTTTTTTTCTTTTTATTATTTTTTTTTTTTTATTATTTTTTTTTTGTTTTTATTTTTTTTTTATTAGCTTGACATGGCGTGGCGCGTGAAAAATGTCACAAAAATTTTAAATAAATATATCGGTCAACATACGCACGACTTTTGTTTGCATGCAAAATATAAATTCCGTTTCTCCATAGGTCTACGTATATGTATATATTTATTATATTAGTGTTTAGCGCAATTTGTCTGTCGTAAGCGAGACGGTATTAAGTATTTCGATAACTGACCTCATACCAACGTATATTTATATGCTCTTGCTTTACATTCATTTATTTTATTTTAATTGTTGTTGTTGTTGTTTGCGATACTCGTGTTAGCATAACGTTCTGATTGTGTCAACGTCAGTCATGGTGGACGTTTGCGAAATACGAAATCGCGTGACATGTGTGATGCTGGCGTGACGCTTTGAAAATTAAAATAAGTGAGCACATGCACGCCTTTGATTATATGTACAGAATATGTACATACATACTCGTATATACGTATATATGGCATACAGATATATTTTTATATTTGATAATTTCAAAAGTGGACAGTGGTCTAAAGGAAAACACTCCTACATAAGTGGAGCAGTAAAAACAAACTCAGAAAAAATTTTGTGTTTTTTGGTTGAAAAGAGAATTGAATAAAATGTTATTTTCTTAACTAGATATCTCAAACCACCTTCTTTTACTCTTCGATTTATACGTTTTTTGACTAGAATGATCCTTAGTATTAGATCCACAACCTTATTAAAAACAACCGAACTACTTGAAAAGGGAGCGAAAAAACTATATCAGATCGCCTATGATATAAATAGGGAAACGTTTTTTATGAGTTTTAATTTCGAATTGGCAAAAAATATTCCCAAGAAAATAAATCTTAATTGCTAGCAATAAAATTACAATTAAAGTTTTAATATTCGAAAATAAATTGAAATAAAAAAATTAAATAAAAAAATTAAATAAAAAAATTAAATAAATAAATTAAATTAAATAAATTAAAATAAAATATAATGAAATAAAATAAAACTAAAAATGGTATTGTATTTCTTTTTGGGATTATATACCTAAAATATTAGTTGGACTATTTCATGAAGTTTTCGAATATTTTTTATATACTTGTGCACAAATCAAATCTCACATTTACATTGCTTTCCTGACGGATCTTTGCCAAAAAAAGTGTAATATATGAGCAAAACTGTTGTGTGGAGCTGTATGATATTGTCGTCCGATTTTCATAAGCTGCTGCCGAGAGCAAGAGTGTGAGAGAACACTAGCAAGCTGCGGCGCCACAATTTCACTACTACTACTCTTCTTTTCCGAGACTGATCTTTTCGGTTCGATTTACTTGAAATTCGGTACATACATGGGTGGCATTTCAGAAAATAATATCGTTTATATGGTTTTTTGTATTTAAATTTTTTTACTAAAAGTGACCAGCTTTTGAAAAAAATATAAATATTGATGGTTCGATTCAGGTAAATTTTTGCCTAATATGCCTAAATATAGGCATACCTGGAATGGGCCAGAGACCTGAAAGCAAGTTCAATTTGCTCCAAATATAATTAATTCTTTCTGTCTAAGATTTGGGGTGTAGGAAGGAGAGTATGTTTAAGAGTAGAGAAGATGTTGATGTATGTTACCCATAAATGTATTCATCGAGCTCAGTGGTCCTTCAAGGAGTTCGGTTTAGAGCTTCTTATAAAAAAATTAGAGGTGGTTCGGGATTTTTCCTACTTTTACACTATGAATTTGTTGCGTGAGCTCCAGGTGAAAATTTGGTGATGTTTTCAAATTTTGTATACATTTCTTACAAGGTGAATTTATTTTAGCTCTTCAAAGGCGGTGCTTTGTAGAATTTTTTACTAGAAAGAGACAGCCAGAAAATTTTCAAAAATAATTTGGATACTCGTGCAAGAAAAATAAATAAATAAAAAACAAATAAATAGATAAATCATATTATATGTTTATACTACAATAGAAGCTATTCTTAAACGCTTAATTTGCTTACGAATAGATCAAAATAGTGTATTTGGCTCACTTCAAGACATTCAGATACAAATAAGTAGTATAATAAATAATTATAAAAAGTTTAATAAAATGTATAATAAAAAACTTAAAAAGAATAATACTTTGACTTAGATAATGCTTAATGTGTATTTTGTATCGTTCTTTGCAAAACCAGTAAGAATAAAAATTGAGCAAAATACAGAAATACACACCACCGTCTGCTAGGGTTTGTTAATTATATAATTTATAAAGTATGTAAGTATATGTACATTTCTATATCCACCATTTTGGAGTTTGTAACAACCGTCTTGCTTTTTGTTTTAATAATCCACCTATTTTT